AAAATTAAAGTAACATAGTCAAGGGTGAGCTTACTCATGTTTGTTCTAGAACAAACCATTCACCTTAAACAAATGGAAAGGTGGAGAAAATCATTATTTTGAGTGCCAGGTATCTACTCCTGTATGATTTTTAAGATTGTGACTTGTTAGATCCACCACTTTCACTTTTTACTTTTGGAAAAGATTGAACTAGATAAGCTTTTCATTTAAAATTTTTATAGAATTTAAATGAAATAGTCAGAATCTTTATTGTATTAAAAAAAGAAAACCGCCATCCAGAAAAACCGTTGTTTTTTTAATGCAATAAAAACTCACAACCTATTTTTTATGAACTTTTTTATCAAGTTAGCTTCATTCATATCACTAAATCAACTTTACTTATTCAGCCTAAAATTTCGAAACATATAAAAATCTACAGGTAAGATTCCATTAGATTCTCAATTCATAGTAATAACTTGATAATGGTGAAAAATATTGTTGAGGATATGAATAACCAGAATTATAGGAGAACTAACGTATATTTAAAAAATAGTTTATCATTCTGAAAGTATGATTTATCTTTTGATATAATGTATATTCCAAAAGATGTACTTAGAGGTTACCTTGCTCCACTTTCAAACAAAACCCTGTTGAACAACAATTTAATTTTAGGTATATATGAATAAAACGATCAAAACATTAGTATCTAAGAGAGAGCTTTGACCAAAAAAATTTTACATTAATGAAATTGAATTTCTGAATTTTTCAAATTTTAAAAATTAAATGGTAACAGATACCGTAATAGATCTATTCAAGCTAATTTAATTTCTTGAATCAATTTGGTAGATAATAAGTCCTTCTAGATTTCAATCTTCATAAGAACATTAATTCATAATTGAACTTTTGCTTGACCTATTTAAATTAACTAATCCAATCCTGATAGTTTCTGATAAATTGAATTAAAACCTAATATCTATTAAGATATTGTCAAAATTTTATTACAATTTTGCAAATGTATTTTTAATCTCTCCTATCGATTTGCCCTTTTTATAGATTTATCTACAACAGTTAAAGAAATCCAAATCCCCAAAAGTTAGACATTTAGATATCTATCCTTAATTTATTAACTACTTCCTTTGTCATTAAATAATAGTATCCTCCTATTTTTTGTAACTTTTTAGTTTAGGCATTTTTTAAATATCAGAAAATTCCCATTTAAACTTAATTTCATTGGCAACTTTAGATTTTTAATGCACATAATAAATAGGACAGATAATTAAGATAGGGGCATTTTCCAATACCTAAATATTCAAAATATTTTAATTTTCTAAATCTTATATTTTTACATATTAAAATCTTGTGACTTTTTTTATTTTACGAAATTCTCAACCAAGACCTTATTGCATAAATCTTACAAGTAAGAAAGAAGATAATATTGAATACTTGCTGATCTAAGGTCTAATAGGATCATCAAAAAACTCATCTATATTTTTATGCATAATTAAGAAGAAAACCCAGAATTAAATTTCATTAGTAAAAGTAATTTTTTAGCTTAGCCCCATTGCTTTTGTCAATTTAACTTATCTTTGCTACCTTAATCTTAAATAAATATATATTTCTATTACACGAACTACATGACTTTGTGAACTAAATAGAGTTTTTTTTTATTATTAATAAGCATAAAAAGAAAAAAAAGTTTCCTTTCCTTCATTTTGAAATTAAAAGTTGATTTGCTATTCAAAATAGATTGTATTTCTTTACAATAACATATTGTTTTCAATTAATTAGTTCCTGCTTTTTCGATTAATTTTAAATTTAAACCAAATTTCCAAGCAAGATAATAAATTCTAGATATTTTATTCCGATTCAAGATAACTCAAGCCTTAATTTATGTAAAAATAAATAAAATAATTTGTTGTCAAGTATAGTTCTAATCAAATTTTTATTCTAAAATCATTTACTTCAAGAATTATTAATTAATTATTAAAGCAAAATATCTGACATTTCAACACCTCTTAATGCATTTTTTAAATTTATTTATTTTCTTAAACCTCGGCATTAATTTATTTTACTTAATTACTTTATTTTTTAATTTTGTCATCCATCTATTGGATATAGACTTTATTTTTATTTTCTATTTCATTTAGTTTCTGCTTAAATGATAATTACTCTGTATTTCCGCTATTTATAGATTATGATAAAGAGTCTAATTATTTTTCTTAATTCTTAAATTTAGATACGTTAAGCTCATTAAATTATTCTACTTAGTGATTTTGTTTTTCAATAATTTAATTTGTTGTAATTCTTTCTTCATTTTAAAGCAAGTCTTCTTTTTATAATTAGTTTTGTTTAGTTTATTAAGTATCTACTTCTCTAATTGTTTCTGACAACTTTTTGACTTTTTAATTAACGTTATGAGTTATGTTTCTATATTATTTTTTAAAGATTATAGTTTATTTTCAACTGTAGCTGATTTTTCTTTCTCTTTTAAGTCTGTCTATACTTCATTAATTTATTAATTCAGCTCTTTATATTTTGTAGTTAATTGTTACAATTTTATTTCGCTTGACTGAGACAATTCCATTAAATTTTACTTTAGTTAATTATTTTTAAATTGTTTCTTAACTGCATTATTGAGCAAATTCTTATTCTTATTTGAGGAGTTTTTGATTTATCTTTTCTTCTAAATCAACAATTTTTTTATTAAATTTATTTAATTTCTAATTTTTCCTCATCAATTTTTAGTTTCAATTCTTCTTTTTATTTAGTAATTAATAACAGTTATTACTCATTTTCTTCAGCATTTATAAATTTTCTCATTTTTCTGAAATTATTTGATATTATTTATATTATTATTAGAGGAACGAAGATTTTAAATCTTCGGTATCATTTTTTACTTCAAATTAAATAAACTGCTCAAGTTAACCTTTTTACTAAAGCTATTACGCTTCTTTCTATAATTCTATTTGTAAATCAACTGATTCATTCTAAATTTATAAGCATTATTCCTACAATTAACATTTAGATATAAACTCATGTATTTCAGGAGTAATTTGAATATCAGCTTTATTTCCTAGGTCTGAATTATCTACAATTAAATCAATTAAGTTTACCTTATTAATCTTATAAAATTGTCATCAATTATTACTTGCAAAGTAAATCATGCTTGATAAGGGTTTCTAATTTGGATTTGACATTTTGATAAAATAATTTATCAAGTCTATCTTGCTTCTTCTATAACTATAGAATATTTTAATTTTTATCTTATTAGATTAATAAATCAAATCATTTTCTCAATTTATTTTTCATCTAAATAAAAATGTATTTATTTTCTAATTTAAGGAAGTCTAAAAACTCTTTATTATTTTTAATTAGCTATTCATCTATTGACGACAACATTTCTGATAATGAATTATTATAATAATCTTTTAGTTATTTAATTTCTTCTATAACCATTTTAAATGTTTTTTCTCTTCTGAAATTATGTTTTGAAATTAAATCTTCTGATTATCCTATAAAAGTATTCCACATATTATTTGCTTCTTTTAAACTAATATATTGAAAAGGATTTTCTTGAATACATTCTACACATGCCAATCGACCAAATTTAGGTTCAGTATGATTAACATTAGCAAAATTATTTCTTTATTATGTTTATTGCATATTTAACTAAGAAAAGGAGTTTTCTAATATTAAAACAATAAATTACATGTTAATCAAATTCTTTGGCAGATATATCATTTGATTTTTGCCTATTAATTGATTAGTACAGTAGATCTAATTAAATCTATGGATTCCATTATTTAGATATAATGTTATGATTTTGACTGAGATTATAATGATTCATAGATTAATTACACAAGGGTCAAGTCTTTTTCCTTATATGTTTGCTGTTTAGGTATATTATAACTAAAATTTCCTATATAATTTTTTCATCATAGTTTTTGATTTCTAACTTTTATTCCTTTGATTCAATATCTATTTGGATCTATTCCATTTTTTGATCAATTAATTGAAGTAATTTTCCAAGTTCTGTCTTGATTTAATTTTTGAATGATTGGATGATAATAATTATATTAAATTAGTTAATCTAAGGATATTTTCTTCCTTTGCAAGTTTTAAAGATTAGGTTTTCATGCTTTATATCATCTCTGTAGCTTCATTAAGCAATGTCATGTTTTCTTTATCGACTCTCTCAGCTAGACACCTAGTGCATAAATATTTGTCATCAATTATAGTTTCTTATTACATATCCTACAATCTCTAATTTGTGGACTTAACAAATTTTTTCTTCAATTTCTATTGATGTATGCATCAGATATTTAAGTTTATGTAATTAATTATATCAATTCAAAATAACATATGATTTAAAGCCGGAGAAATACATAAATAAATTTAGACATATTTCTTGCCTTTGCCTACAACAAGAGAACAATAATAACCCGAATAGTGCTGTTTTTTATAAGTGACTTGCAAATAGTTCAAGTATTGATTTGATTGAATAAAGTTTCAGATATAGATTACAGCGGTCAACTATAAAAATTTTCAGCTAAAGAAAATCTAATCTAGTTATATTATAACTTGAAGCCATAGAGAATGATCCTCGTTTATCCTATTTTATATTATCAATATTTCACATTCATTCAAAAAATAGCTCTTATAATTAAACAAGCAATAGAGAACTGAATTTATTAATCTGTTTCTTTCACATTCATACAATATCAATTATCTCGAGTTAAAAATACAAATGAAATTCTTCAATTTAAGCTTGTAGATTAATATAAAATTCTGAATATCCATATTAATATTTTATTTATACATTTATTAGAAAATAAGAAAAAAGTGATCATATCTCATTTTTATTTGTTTTTAGAAGCCTATCAACCTATGAATATATTTATGTTATGTTATAATAGTTAGATGAATTATGTTACATTTAAATCACAATATTATCAAATGTATTTAATTTGAATACCATTTTATCTCTTCTTGGTAATCTAAATTTAAATTTAGCATCTACATTACTCCTAACTTGTTAATCTTCCTTATACGATAAGTATACAAATGAGCTATAAAATCCATTTACACAACCACAGATAGATCCTTAGAAAAGTTACTCTATATTAAAATATTGAATTGCAAGTCGGAATCTGAGCAAAGCCTTGTTTTATGATCAAATTTCAAATTGGTATTTAGAAAATTTTCAATTTCATCATTCACCTATACAGAATAGAAATTCAATGTATTTTTAAATAAATAACAATTTAAAGTAATCTTAATTTTAAGATAAAGGTAATTGAATACTATTTTTGGCTTACTGCAATAATAACTTCTGTAAAATTGGAGTCCTCGTATACACGCACTATAATTAATCTATTATGAATGAAAAAAACCAGATGAAAAAATATTTTTAATTAATTTTTTATCAAAAAAGTACTTTGATTTTTAGTGTTTCTTAAAGAACTTGTATCATAGGAGAAACGGTTGATGATTTTCAAACCAAAAAAAAATAATCACATCCTTATATAAAACTACATTAATAATTACTGATTGTTTTTTGGCAACTTTAATAGAACAGATAATTATTGACATCAAATTTATTCTTGTTTGCTAGTAGAGTGACTTTAATTTGTTGGTGGTATTAAAACAACAATAGTATTTACAATTACTATTTCTATCTCTTTTTTTTGCATAGAAACTACTACTTTGATATTTCTAATCTAGCAAAATGATACTTTATCGGTTGAGATTAAACCTATTTAATGTTCTCTGTATTATATTTAGAGTTTTAATTTAAGATTATTACATGAAGTTAATCTTGAATTTTGCACTTTATTAAGATGTCATAAAATAAGTAAATCTTTTGATTTAAGGATCATAACTCAATAAGAAATGAAGATTGAATCTACCTGAAGAAGATTATATTTATAAATAATAAATTTCTAATTGCTTGGTTTTGTGGATAGTGATGAAGTAGGATTGACACATTTAAATGGTTTGCAATCAGATGAAGACTATAATTTTAATATTATGATGAGCTTAATGCGGAAAGACACAGAAACTTGGATGTAAATAATGTGATTTATAAATAAGAACTAAAATGAAATAAGTCTCTGAGCATAAGATCCTTATATTAATTAAAAAAGCCAATTTCAATAAACTATTTGTTAATTTATTGGTTTATATATTTAAAAAGGATATTATATAGCAATAATTAGTATAAACACAAAATTTATTGATGTATCNTTTATGTTATGTTATAATAGTTAGATGAATTATGTTACATTTAAATCACAATATTATCAAATGTATTTAATTTGAATACCATTTTATCTCTTCTTGGTAATCTAAATTTAAATTTAGCATCTACATTACTCCTAACTTGTTAATCTTCCTTATACGATAAGTATACAAATGAGCTATAAAATCCATTTACACAACCACAGATAGATCCTTAGAAAAGTTACTCTATATTAAAATATTGAATTGCAAGTCGGAATCTGAGCAAAGCCTTGTTTTATGATCAAATTTCAAATTGGTATTTAGAAAATTTTCAATTTCATCATTCACCTATACAGAATAGAAATTCAATGTATTTTTAAATAAATAACAATTTAAAGTAATCTTAATTTTAAGATAAAGGTAATTGAATACTATTTTTGGCTTACTGCAATAATAACTTCTGTAAAATTGGAGTCCTCGTATACACGCACTATAATTAATCTATTATGAATGAAAAAAACCAGATGAAAAAATATTTTTAATTAATTTTTTATCAAAAAAGTACTTTGATTTTTAGTGTTTCTTAAAGAACTTGTATCATAGGAGAAACGGTTGATGATTTTCAAACCAAAAAAAAATAATCACATCCTTATATAAAACTACATTAATAATTACTGATTGTTTTTTGGCAACTTTAATAGAACAGATAATTATTGACATCAAATTTATTCTTGTTTGCTAGTAGAGTGACTTTAATTTGTTGGTGGTATTAAAACAACAATAGTATTTACAATTACTATTTCTATCTCTTTTTTTTGCATAGAAACTACTACTTTGATATTTCTAATCTAGCAAAATGATACTTTATCGGTTGAGATTAAACCTATTTAATGTTCTCTGTATTATATTTAGAGTTTTAATTTAAGATTATTACATGAAGTTAATCTTGAATTTTGCACTTTATTAAGATGTCATAAAATAAGTAAATCTTTTGATTTAAGGATCATAACTCAATAAGAAATGAAGATTGAATCTACCTGAAGAAGATTATATTTATAAATAATAAATTTCTAATTGCTTGGTTTTGTGGATAGTGATGAAGTAGGATTGACACATTTAAATGGTTTGCAATCAGATGAAGACTATAATTTTAATATTATGATGAGCTTAATGCGGAAAGACACAGAAACTTGGATGTAAATAATGTGATTTATAAATAAGAACTAAAATGAAATAAGTCTCTGAGCATAAGATCCTTATATTAATTAAAAAAGCCAATTTCAATAAACTATTTGTTAATTTATTGGTTTATATATTTAAAAAGGATATTATATAGCAATAATTAGTATAAACACAAAATTTATTGATGTATCATATCAAGAATACATAAATAGATTAAAGAAAAAGAAGATTTCTGAAAGTCAGTTAATTTAATTATATTTACAGAATAGATTGAAGATAAATAAATAGGAAATAAATAATAATTATAAAATCTCATATTGCAACACTTAAATCTTTAAAACATGAATTTATTTTGTTAATTTAAAAGAAAGTTCATTAAGCTTTGTAAATAATCAACATTTAGTTAATATGAATAAAATCACAACAATAATTGTTTTATGAAAATGATACTATTTCCTATATTACCCAAATACCTTAATTTCAGAAAAAACTCAGAACCATATGTTTTTCATTAACAAAGTACTATAATTGCAAATTTTTATTCTTAATTCTACTCAAACCCAATATCTTCATATTCTTAATAGCTATTTATTTCTGAAAATTTTTATTACAATTTTTAAAGAAATTAAAATATTTTTAAGTTTTTGTATAATTTCTGATAAATATTCATGAATATATAATGATTTCAAATTTATTCTAGTATTTACTAAAAAATTTCTATCAGTTTAGATATATTATGGCTGCTAAATAGATGAATCAATCTTTTAGGCATTAAGACAAATTTCTAAAATATACAGTGAATAAGTAAGTTAGAAAATATAATTAACCAATTTTAGGAAAGTTCGAATAAAAAATCAAAAATTTTACTTGGCCTAATTATTCAACAATAAAGATGGTAAGAGTTTGTATTTTATCAGAGTTACAATTGAATCAAAATAAATTGAGTAATTATTATTTGATTATAATTCCTATGAAACCTTTATGAATATTACTTTTACAATTTACCTCAGTCATTAGAGGTAGCTTGGAAAAATGATGGAAATTTTATAACAGGGCTTAGTGATAATGATATAATCTACCTTTATAAAACATACGCTTTGTTCTAACGCCCCTATTACTCCTCCTTAGAGTTTAGGTTTGAATAATAATTTTCGTCATGTTTAGTTAAGTTTAATTATTTGACAACTTTGTTTATAACTCAAGAAACTTACTGAAAATAATGTCTATCAGTGCTACAAATTGTATTTATTGTGTTAAAAGAGGTCTTGTCAATAAAGTAATGTTTGAGCTGTAGATATAAAAAATTGTGAACCCATAACTTAAGATTCAAAATATCTTTCTACATTTAAATTTAATTAGAATGATGTCTTCGAATGAAGTATGGGTTAAATGCTAATATCAATTTAGAAAAAAAATAAAATAATATATTTTTTTCAGAATTTTTCGTAAAATTTAGCTCAAGTTATTTAAGCAATATTACTAAATTAAAATTAGAGATTGATTAACTATTTTTTGTTGTTTTTTTTTGAACTCAAATAAGGTTTTTATATGATATTATTATTTGAATGAATTTAAGATTCCTAAATGATTTGTGGATATCTAATATTGACCTGAAAAATGATAAAGAAATTTTAATGATTTATAATAATAATATTAGAATCATCTAATATTTCAATATATATTTATTAATCATATTCTTAAAGTTCACTTACTTGATACTATATAATAATTGCATAAAAAAACAAATACAAATTTAAAAACTTAATCAATCAATAAGTTGTATTTAATAAAATAAGTAATTTATCATTTATTTTTAATAATCATTTAAATTCAGATAACAATAAAAGAATATTAATTTTATTGAAAATAATAAATTAAATGCATATTCTTTTCATTCTGATATCACTATTACTTGTATATTCAGATTTAAACTGCAAATAAAATCAGCATGAGTTCTGGTTAAAATCAAATTTCAGAAGGCTTTATAAAGATGTAGCATCTTAATCAAATGGAGCAATTCTTTCAAATGCAAGGTCGATTTTAACTGTTGGAGGCACTTTAAATATTAGTCCTTTAAAAGATTCTCTATAAATCCATGGGGAAGATCCTCATTTTTATACACGAACTTCAATGGATATATAATTTACACAACTTTATGAGATTAATAGAATAAAAATCTGGTACTATGATTTTGAATATAGAATATTCAGTTTTAAAATAATTGCAATTGTATAAGATAATATTGAAAAGGAATTGTATTTAGGGTATCATTAAAAAGGTCTGGTAACGATAGAATTTGAAGATTAATTTGTATAAAAAATAAAAATAATTCATTTGGGCAGCACACATGGTGATTTAGCTATTTTAAAAATCTAAGCTTCATATGTAATAAAGAATTTACTTTGAGAAGTTGATTTAGAATTGATCATTAAAAATAATAGTTAATTATTTCTGTTATCATGAGTCTAAAATCAAAAAAAACATACAATTATAANTTAGTTAATATGAATAAAATCACAACAATAATTGTTTTATGAAAATGATACTATTTCCTATATTACCCAAATACCTTAATTTCAGAAAAAACTCAGAACCATATGTTTTTCATTAACAAAGTACTATAATTGCAAATTTTTATTCTTAATTCTACTCAAACCCAATATCTTCATATTCTTAATAGCTATTTATTTCTGAAAATTTTTATTACAATTTTTAAAGAAATTAAAATATTTTTAAGTTTTTGTATAATTTCTGATAAATATTCATGAATATATAATGATTTCAAATTTATTCTAGTATTTACTAAAAAATTTCTATCAGTTTAGATATATTATGGCTGCTAAATAGATGAATCAATCTTTTAGGCATTAAGACAAATTTCTAAAATATACAGTGAATAAGTAAGTTAGAAAATATAATTAACCAATTTTAGGAAAGTTCGAATAAAAAATCAAAAATTTTACTTGGCCTAATTATTCAACAATAAAGATGGTAAGAGTTTGTATTTTATCAGAGTTACAATTGAATCAAAATAAATTGAGTAATTATTATTTGATTATAATTCCTATGAAACCTTTATGAATATTACTTTTACAATTTACCTCAGTCATTAGAGGTAGCTTGGAAAAATGATGGAAATTTTATAACAGGGCTTAGTGATAATGATATAATCTACCTTTATAAAACATACGCTTTGTTCTAACGCCCCTATTACTCCTCCTTAGAGTTTAGGTTTGAATAATAATTTTCGTCATGTTTAGTTAAGTTTAATTATTTGACAACTTTGTTTATAACTCAAGAAACTTACTGAAAATAATGTCTATCAGTGCTACAAATTGTATTTATTGTGTTAAAAGAGGTCTTGTCAATAAAGTAATGTTTGAGCTGTAGATATAAAAAATTGTGAACCCATAACTTAAGATTCAAAATATCTTTCTACATTTAAATTTAATTAGAATGATGTCTTCGAATGAAGTATGGGTTAAATGCTAATATCAATTTAGAAAAAAAATAAAATAATATATTTTTTTCAGAATTTTTCGTAAAATTTAGCTCAAGTTATTTAAGCAATATTACTAAATTAAAATTAGAGATTGATTAACTATTTTTTGTTGTTTTTTTTTGAACTCAAATAAGGTTTTTATATGATATTATTATTTGAATGAATTTAAGATTCCTAAATGATTTGTGGATATCTAATATTGACCTGAAAAATGATAAAGAAATTTTAATGATTTATAATAATAATATTAGAATCATCTAATATTTCAATATATATTTATTAATCATATTCTTAAAGTTCACTTACTTGATACTATATAATAATTGCATAAAAAAACAAATACAAATTTAAAAACTTAATCAATCAATAAGTTGTATTTAATAAAATAAGTAATTTATCATTTATTTTTAATAATCATTTAAATTCAGATAACAATAAAAGAATATTAATTTTATTGAAAATAATAAATTAAATGCATATTCTTTTCATTCTGATATCACTATTACTTGTATATTCAGATTTAAACTGCAAATAAAATCAGCATGAGTTCTGGTTAAAATCAAATTTCAGAAGGCTTTATAAAGATGTAGCATCTTAATCAAATGGAGCAATTCTTTCAAATGCAAGGTCGATTTTAACTGTTGGAGGCACTTTAAATATTAGTCCTTTAAAAGATTCTCTATAAATCCATGGGGAAGATCCTCATTTTTATACACGAACTTCAATGGATATATAATTTACACAACTTTATGAGATTAATAGAATAAAAATCTGGTACTATGATTTTGAATATAGAATATTCAGTTTTAAAATAATTGCAATTGTATAAGATAATATTGAAAAGGAATTGTATTTAGGGTATCATTAAAAAGGTCTGGTAACGATAGAATTTGAAGATTAATTTGTATAAAAAATAAAAATAATTCATTTGGGCAGCACACATGGTGATTTAGCTATTTTAAAAATCTAAGCTTCATATGTAATAAAGAATTTACTTTGAGAAGTTGATTTAGAATTGATCATTAAAAATAATAGTTAATTATTTCTGTTATCATGAGTCTAAAATCAAAAAAAACATACAATTATAATGAATCTAGTTAACAATTGCAATAGTAAATAGCAAAACATAAAAAAATTTTCTCTCTATCATCATTGTTCTATTTCAAGGGTAGTTTTGATCATAAAATTCAAACCAGAAAAATAAGATGCAAAACTTTACAGAGTATTTCTCATTCTTCAATGTCACTAGACATTATATACTTGAATTCTAGTTATTGATTAATTAATACCTATTCTCAATAACAAAATTAAATTGCACGAACCGCTTAGTTGATGTTATTCTTGTACTCACCTTAATTATTCGAAGAATGACTTTTTCTTCAAATTGAAAGAATCTTATTCGTGTACTAACAATGAAATCATCCAATTAATATTTATCGGTAATTTTTGTAACAGGCTCGGAGGTGGGTACATTTAAGTGTTGAATAGAAAGACTTTAATACAAAAGTGTGAGTGAATAATTTTTATACATCATTATAATATATCATAATATAATACCCCAGAACTCATTCTTAATTATATTTCTATTTATTTTTTAATTCTTTTTATTTCAATTTTTCATTAGCTTCTCTATAAAATTTNTAATATTGACCTGAAAAATGATAAAGAAATTTTAATGATTTATAATAATAATATTAGAATCATCTAATATTTCAATATATATTTATTAATCATATTCTTAAAGTTCACTTACTTGATACTATATAATAATTGCATAAAAAAACAAATACAAATTTAAAAACTTAATCAATCAATAAGTTGTATTTAATAAAATAAGTAATTTATCATTTATTTTTAATAATCATTTAAATTCAGATAACAATAAAAGAATATTAATTTTATTGAAAATAATAAATTAAATGCATATTCTTTTCATTCTGATATCACTATTACTTGTATATTCAGATTTAAACTGCAAATAAAATCAGCATGAGTTCTGGTTAAAATCAAATTTCAGAAGGCTTTATAAAGATGTAGCATCTTAATCAAATGGAGCAATTCTTTCAAATGCAAGGTCGATTTTAACTGTTGGAGGCACTTTAAATATTAGTCCTTTAAAAGATTCTCTATAAATCCATGGGGAAGATCCTCATTTTTATACACGAACTTCAATGGATATATAATTTACACAACTTTATGAGATTAATAGAATAAAAATCTGGTACTATGATTTTGAATATAGAATATTCAGTTTTAAAATAATTGCAATTGTATAAGATAATATTGAAAAGGAATTGTATTTAGGGTATCATTAAAAAGGTCTGGTAACGATAGAATTTGAAGATTAATTTGTATAAAAAATAAAAATAATTCATTTGGGCAGCACACATGGTGATTTAGCTATTTTAAAAATCTAAGCTTCATATGTAATAAAGAATTTACTTTGAGAAGTTGATTTAGAATTGATCATTAAAAATAATAGTTAATTATTTCTGTTATCATGAGTCTAAAATCAAAAAAAACATACAATTATAATGAATCTAGTTAACAATTGCAATAGTAAATAGCAAAACATAAAAAAATTTTCTCTCTATCATCATTGTTCTATTTCAAGGGTAGTTTTGATCATAAAATTCAAACCAGAAAAATAAGATGCAAAACTTTACAGAGTATTTCTCATTCTTCAATGTCACTAGACATTATATACTTGAATTCTAGTTATTGATTAATTAATACCTATTCTCAATAACAAAATTAAATTGCACGAACCGCTTAGTTGATGTTATTCTTGTACTCACCTTAATTATTCGAAGAATGACTTTTTCTTCAAATTGAAAGAATCTTATTCGTGTACTAACAATGAAATCATCCAATTAATATTTATCGGTAATTTTTGTAACAGGCTCGGAGGTGGGTACATTTAAGTGTTGAATAGAAAGACTTTAATACAAAAGTGTGAGTGAATAATTTTTATACATCATTATAATATATCATAATATAATACCCCAGAACTCATTCTTAATTATATTTCTATTTATTTTTTAATTCTTTTTATTTCAATTTTTCATTAGCTTCTCTATAAAATTTGATATCATCATCAGTAAATTCATATTTCTATTCTTATAGTAGTTTTTTATTTTCTGCTATTTTCTTTTCTTTTTCCTTCTCTAAAAATAGTTTTGCTTATTCTTCTTCATATTGTAAATTCTTCCTTCTGAACCAATAAAAAATTATAAAAACAACAAGAGTGAAAACTATTTTCTCAATTTGTACATAAGCAAGATAATCTTTTTCAAAAGGAGTAGTTTTGAATTCACCTGAATTAAATTATTCTTTGATCTCTTCTTCACTTTGGCCTAATGCTTTAAATGTCATAGGATGCTTTTAAAATATTGTGATTACTAGCATAACTGTGAATATTGCTAACTTAGGCCATATTTCTTTAAAGATCTGAGTTATTGATTTTGCCATTCTATATTAAATATTAAATATTATTTTGATTAAAATAATTAATCATCACATTTCATGATCAGATTCAGAACTCTGACTTAAATTTAACACATTTTCATAAGGAACAAGTTTCTTATATATTTTATCCATATCATAAGAGTTATTTAATATTTTTGTATAAGCTTCCTCTCCCTCATTCTGAAATATTTATTATTTTCTTAATTTGAAAACATTTAGTAACTTAATAATAATAAATTATACTTATTGATCATTTTTACATGCAAATTTAGTAAATAAAGAATCATAGGAAGAATAACATTTAACTTTGAAATCTCTTATTTTTCTTAGAAAATCTGCTTAAACTTAGATGTTATTTTCTTACTGTTCAACATTTTCTAATTATCTTAATAATAAAATTACAGTTATCAATTGCTTCAATATTAGATAAACTTTAAGATTTGTTCATTTAATATGCATTTTAAAATGTTTATAATTCTTCTTCTAATTTAACTTTTTTTTATTTCGCAGCTTCTAAATTTTATTGTTATTCTGATAACTATATTTCTAATTCGCTTTTTTTTTCAATATTTGCCATAAAATCAAGAAAATTATTTGAATTACTGTAATTTTATTATTTTACATCAAATATTCCTTTAATTTAAGCATAATTTTTCTCAAATTGCTCTAGTTTTTCATGAATGGTCTTAGTGTTTTTCTCTTATTATTGTTTCAATTTCTTATTTTATTATGCATCATTCTATTTAGCTTATTGTCGTCTTAAATTTTAAACTGATTCTAAAGCAGAATCCTAAATGTAAACATCGGCTAATTGATTATATTCATATTAATACCTGCTTAAAAGAGATGATCTAAATTTTTTTTTTCTAGTAAGGAATTTCTAATTTAATTTATTAAGTTTCCTTAATGTTTCTTTTTTTAATTATAAGTCATTAAAAAGTCATCTATTGTTCTATATAAAATTTTGATCTGTTATTTATTTTTTGAAATCTCTACTTCTTCAAATCGAATTAATTTCTTAAAATTATTAATCAACTATTACAAATGCTTAAAATAAATTGATGAATAATTACCCTAATATATTCTTCATTCTATTATTTATTATCCTTGCATATTTTCAAAATTGTTATAACTCTAACTTTTTAATTACTACTAGTTTTATAAGACTCTTCAGCCTCTTTTAATTTTTTTTCAAGTTCAATCTTTGTTTCCTTTAACTCTTCCAAATTAGATAATTCTTTCTTAATATAACCTTTATTAAAATCAATTATTTTTTATTATTTAAGTATTTTCGCTAATTTCAAATTCTCATAGTTTAGAGTATCTAATTTCTTTCTCATTTGTTTAGCTTGCTATTCTAAAAGATGTAATTATTTTTAAGAATGTTTTTGGATATCTGTTTTGAGGATAGGGAATATTTCAGTTTATTAATAAGCATTCAACGAGAGAGAAGAGGATTAAAAAGATTTTAATCTACCTTTTTGTGATTTAAATTTGTCCAATAATTTTACTGTATTCTATCCATCATTTGATCTATTTTCTATTGTAATTTTAATTTATTTAGATTCTTAATTTAGATTATCTAAGTCAGTAAAATCTTATGTGATAAACATTGTTCGTTCATATTTTTCTTATGACATATTTATAGATGAATTTTGAATACTATCTATTTTTGGAAGAATAGCTTTGCTTCTATCAAATCTACTAGCTTAAGTATTATCAAATGTATATTCAATCTTGACTGGCTAAGGCTGATTTAAAATACTAGATTATGGTATCAAGATAATGGATTATTATTATTCTTCTGGTTCAGTCTCATACATCAATTTTTTTTTTAATTTAGCTTCAATAGCAATTTTTAATGCCGCTAGATATTAAAATATTTGAATTACAATTTGTATATGCATGCTCTTCCTCAACACTCATATAATCAGTTGCAGAAGAGAAACAGTGCTTGATAGTTTTAGAATAATCACATTTTTTACTAATACTCAAACAAGCCCAAGGGAATTAGATCCAAATCCATCTTTTATAATAATAGTCAGATGAAACTCTATCTCCAGTAATTTCTTCTTCTCCAGATAAATATTCTTTTTTATTTGATAATAATTTTTGTAATATCTTTTACATTTAATCCTTACATTCTTCAACATCCAAAGTTTAAATAGTTTCTAATTCATCAGGTTCTGTTTCAGTAGATTTAATCATTTATGATAAATAATGATTTCTGACTTCATATCTATTTTATTGTATTTCAACGTTTTGAGACTCCATTTTAGTAAGAGCAGGTGTTTTAATTGCTTTGGCAACTCTTTTTAAATGTTTGACAGGATCAAATTATTTTAACTCTGGATCTTTGTTGAAGTACAAATCTAATTTCAAGATTTCTTATAATAATCCTATATCATATAAATCTTACAAGACTCCTATAATAGGAGGATGTCTAAAAACAGGAGTGTTTTTGGTTTCAAAATCTCCAAATTCTTTTAGAAATCTTGATACTTAAATAATAATTCTAAAGAGATCTTCTGAACTTGGATGATAATGTATTTGAAAACCCTCTACTGCTTTATTATACTCAAGTACTGGATCAAATCCATTTTCCTCTAGTTTTTACCAATATCTACAAAGATCATATTTATTATTGGGATTGAATAATAGTAAGAAGTTTTCAATAATACTAATGATTTCTTTTAATTTAAAATAGTTTTTAGCTGAAAATAAATGGAAGGTTTCTTCTTCTAATTTTCTAATTGAATTATTAGTGTATTTATCAATAGTTTCTGCAATTTTGTCATGTAATTATAATGTTTTATCATTATGATAACAATTAATAACACATTTTTTGAATATTTCATTATGTATAATCCATAATTCACGATGTTTCATAAGAAATATCTTAAAGAAAAGCAAGAATAATTTCCATTATTTATCATCAAATTCACATACAGATTGAATTTCTTTGTAAGTCAATCCTTTTTATGTAATTGCAAGTACAGTAATGAGTTAAATAAACTTTGGATCTTATTTTAATTCAGGAGTTTTAGGAGTAAAAATAAAGCTTTCACTAAAGAATTTTAATTAGAATGTAAATAATTCTTCAACAGTTCTGAAATGTTTAATCTATTATAAATTTAATTCTTTTAAAATGTTTTCAACAGTATTAATATCAATATCCTTAAGTTCAACAAGACCATCTGTTGGATAAGGTAAAAATACAGTCATAAAACTTCTAACAAAGAGTGGCTAATTTCTCACTTTATAATTTAATTAAATAAATAAATCTTGAATTGCTTATACTCTCTAGTCAGACTAAGGAGTTAAAAATAAAGAATACTAGAAATGATGGTTTTCCAAAATGACCATTAACCATTGTTTTTATTACTTTTGAATCACAAGTAATTGGAATCACATGACAAGAAGGTTTAAGTATTCTCATAGAATTAGAATTTTTTTCAGCAGTTACAATAACTTTAATGTTTTTTGGGAAATATTTTGGTAACCAAAAGGAAACATTAGCTTCTCTATGAACATCTAACATATCTCTAAAATTATCAATTCCTTCAAATATCAATATCACCTAATATAATTTAGATAATAAATACTTTATCATATATAACTTTAGCTCCATTTAAAAATTGTTATTCTAATTCTCTACTACATATTTCTAGCCAATAATGAAAGTATCTACGAAGCTTTTCTTCCACTAATTCTACTTTCTATTTGATATTTAAAGTTTCTCTTAATTTAATTAATATTCGGTAAATTGCAAAAAAGTAATTACTATTCTTTCCTGATTGTGTAGCAAAATGAGGTATGATATAATCTTAATAACGCTATGATAATTTGAATTGATACTCCTTTTTTATTTTTAGCATGGTATTCCATCCATTTTACTAAAAGTGTCTTTTTTCCAATTCCATCATCTGCTTCTAATACTAATGGAGTGTTTAAATGCAAGGATTTCTCTTCATCTAGCCAATCTTCAATCTCCAAAAAATAACGATCCAAACCAGATGCAGTTCTAAAATAAATTATATAAGTTACTAATTTTTGTAATATTCAACTACTACATCAGATGAACTTAAATATTATAGATATTTACTCAATGTAATTCATATTCTCATTCCTCATTGATTCTATAGTTGTTTTCTTATCTTTTGGAGATGTTGGTCTATTTGAATATGCGTCGTCCATTTTTATATTTAAATTAATGATTGAAGAAAGTTTTCTTCAAAATGAAAATGAAGACTTTGGAGAATAACTCCTTGAGGATTATACAATTTTATAAAAATTAGGAACAGGTGCCTTCAGCAAAGTCTATAAGGTCTTATATCAAGATTAGATCTACGCTTTGAAAGTATAGTTCAAATTGTTATAGGTTGTTGATAAATAATCGGCTACTGGAAATAATATTGTTGAGAAGCTCAACCAAGAAGCCTCTATACTTAGCACTTTAGAACATCCAAATATCGTTTAATACTATAAGACAATAGAATCAAAGAGAAAACTTTATTTTCTTATCGAATATATTGAAGGCAAATCACTTTAAGAGTATATTGATTAATCATTGACTGACTCTGAAATTAGATAAATTATATAATAAATAATATATGCAGTAGCATATATTCATAAAAAAGGTATAATTCATAGAGATCTAAAACCTGGTATGATCATAAATATATATAGATAACATTTTGATTGATAAAGAATGGAGTGTAAAAATCATCGATTTTGGTTTGAGTTTCCAAACAATAAAATCTACTACTCATGAAACATGTGGCACATTAATTTATATGGCACCAGAAGCATTAATGAAAAAGGAATACTTCAAATCAGTGGATATGTGGAGTCTAGGAATAATATAATTTATGATGTTTGCGAATTGTCATCCATTTTGCACAGATGATACAAGAGAGACCTTTTTAAAAAAAATGAAGAATCCTTAATAAGCATGCTATCCTGAAAATATGAGCAAGTTCAAAATTCCCATAATCATAGAATAGAGCGGCCATATCATTTTTTGAAAAAACTGCTGCATGGGAACCTGAGGCTAGACTTACAGCTGAATAAGCTCTAATTCATCCATGGATTAGTGGTGTAAATAGTCAAATGCCAATGTCATCAAAAGATATAATTCAAACATTTAAATGTTAAAATGAATTTCATCAAGTATTTTAATGAATATAAATTAAGATGATAAAAATGTTGATGATCCTTAGATTAATATAGAAAGTGAGTTAAAAACGTGATTCGTTATAAACACAATAGTTTAGAGCTCACTCTTAATTTTAAAATAACTTAAAACCTTTGATTATTAATTCAAGAAATCCAAGCTCTTAATAAAAATTGAAAACTGAATCTTAATAATTCCAACCACCATTATCTGCCCATAGAACTACATTATCAAGAATATAAAATAATGCTTCATTTCTTAGTTGTTAAGATGTATTAATACCTTATAATTAGTAATCAAGAGAGGATGTGAGATTGAAATAAATGAAGAATAAGCAGCAATAATTAAAATTACCTCCAATAAATACTAAATCTGCAAATAATTCCCCTTATAATAGTAAATCTCAGTAAATGTTTACATTCAGTCCATATAAGAAAGTACAACCAAATGGAGAGCTTAAGAAGTCATAATTTAAATTATGATATATAATATTTTATATGTCTTTTTTAAAGAAATTATTCTCAAAGCCATCAAAAGAAAAAGAAAATTAACAGATTCATCATAATATCAATTAAATTTATAATACTTAACCATTCCAAAGGAAATCAAATCCAATATACAATTATAATGGTATATATAGAATTGAATAATTTGAAATCATTCTTGAATAATAAATTATTGATCTTGAACAATTGAAACAATTAACTTGGAGAGGAGCTCCATAAGGTAATTTATAATATTATAAAAGTTTATAGAGCAAAAGTATGGAAACTAATATTGAAATATATTCCACCTAATCATATGAGTTAAACTAGTGTAATATAGAAAAAAAGACAAGACTATATTTAATACATAAAAAACTATTATGAACAAATTCATGAAAGAGATTAAAATGAAGAAAAGATATTAATAATGATATCAAATGTTGTATTAAGAACCTAACCAGATTATCAACTGTTTAGAGATCCTAAAATCTAGAAACTAATTAAAAGATTACTATTTATATGGAGTCAAAGACATCCAATGAGTAGGTACTTCAGTAATTAAAGTAGTTATGTCTAAGAAATAAATGATATTGCATCTCCATTAATTGCTGTGTTTCTTAATGAATATGTTAGAGTTGATTTCAATAAATTTGATGTACCTCCTGATTTTGATAAACTTCCAGATGATATATTTCTTGATATGGAAGCTGATATTTATTGGTGTCTCTGCAAAATTATTGAAAATATTCAAGATTATTTTATCCATAATTAACCTGGTGTATCTTTGGCAAATGAAAAAATTAAAAATATTCTAAGTTTCGTATATTATTTAACTTATATAGATTGATCCAACAATTTTAGATTACTTTCAATAATAATAAATAGATTTTAATCATTTTGCCTTCAGATGGATTATAAGTTTACTAGTTCGTGAATTCCCTCTTTATTTAGCAATCAGAATATTGGATACTTATCTATCAGAAGGTGATAATATGGCAAATCTTCATATTTATACAGTTTCCAATTTAATACTTAAATGTGGACTTGAGGTATTATTATTTATTTAGTAATATAGATTAAAAATAAAAATATGGATGAAGCTATAATCTTTTTATAAAATCTTCCTACTAAAGATTGGACAGAATTAGATATTGAAATGCTCTTATAAGAAGCATATGTTTTTAAGGAATATATGACTAACAAACAAAATTTGAATTAATCAGTGACTCCCACTTAATCAAATCGAATTTCCAATAAATGAAGATAAATTCTCTTTATTAATTTTAATTAACGAAATTAAATCTATGCAACCATTGTATTGCTAATCTCCTAAATAACCTATAAAGAAAGATTCTTGTTTACATCAATTCTAAAAATTACTCTCTGAATCCCTCAATCGGAAATAAGCTAAATAAAATAAAGAAAATAATAGGAGTAGTTTTCAAATGAGAAGCTATAGTAAATTACTATCACCTCCTCATCGTCCTATTTCCAATAACAATTAACTAAATTAAGACCTCAAAATAACACTTAATAGAGTCAAAAATATGTTAGATAAGGTCTATTCAGAAAATTTAGCTTTACAAACTGAAAAAAAAGAATTAATACAATTACTACAATAGAAAAATTAATTGATTGAAAAGTTAGAATAAAAAAAATCAATAAGTCAACATTTCTGAATTATGCAATTACATTTGTACTATGAATATAAATATTAATATATATAATGAATAAATCAAAAACTAAATCACCTCCTCCTGGAATATAGTAATAAAGTTTATCAGCCGAACCTAAAGAAACCAAGAAACTTAGAACAACTTTAGATTATTCATTCAAAGAAATTAAGAAACTTGAAGGTATATATATATTGTAACTATTATCTAAGAATTAAAAAATAAAGAAGTTAAACCTAGAGAAGGAGAGTAATGGATATTTAAAGAATAGAAGAAGTAAGAAAACTAAGAAGTAAAAAATGATACTCCAAAAGAATAAGTACTCAAATAATAATAATCTTTGCCTGAAGAAACAGAGCCTATTTAACCATAACAATAATAACCTTAAAAATAATAAGATAATAAAAAAGGTAATGCTCCATAACCACCTCCTGCTTAATTAATTCCATAAACAAATGTTGCTACATAATTAATTACCTTATAAAATATACCATTAAATGGAAAAATAGTTGGTGGCAAATTACAAGAAAATAAAAATCAAAGTCAATAATCTAAATTCAAACCAGAATTATGTTGTTAATCATTAATTTTATGTCAAAATAAATTAACAAGTCTTAGTGGATTTTATTAGATCATGCAAACTGTTATGCCTAATGTTGAATTACTTAGATGGATTGATTTATCATATAATCAATTAACAACTTTAGATTATAATTTTAAGGAATTACCTCATTTACAATCATTATATTTGAACTTCAATTAGATAAAGGATATCAATGAATTAAAATAAGTATTATATATTTCTTATAAATAAAGTTGTCACATTTATAAGAGCTTAAATCTCTAAAAATATATGGAAATCCAATTGAATAGATCATCAATTTTAGACTATACATAATTGATGTGCTTCCATAATTAAAAAGGATAGATTCTGTACTAATAAGTAAAAAAGTATTAATTTAATATATATATTTCTTATAGGAAAGAGATAATTCATCTATGATTGTAAAAGTGTTTGATTTTAAACCTTAAATGAAAGCTTAAGCAGATAAAGAGAAATTGTTATTACAATAAACCTAGATTACATAATAAAAGTCGAAGTCTTAACCAAAAAAGAAAAAGTGATAATTTAATATATTCTAATAAATTGATATTTATATAAGGAAAAAAAAGTAATCAATAATTTTTATTAAGATTTTTTCTTTTTAATTGTTATTCCATTTTAAAATTATCTTACTTAACAACTTTAATCTATATAAATATAATAATAATATTTTACTCTTGATTTAATTTCCTATAAATCTTAATCAGTATATTCTGAATCATTTATAACCTATTATAATCTTTCATTTTCTTCAATCAATAATTAAATTTTCTCATTTAAATCAGCATATAAATTATCTGCCATTTTCTATTCATAAACTTATTCAATTTATTTATAAGTTAATTTTAAATGTTCTTCATCCCTTTTTAATTATTATTATTATTTATTAAGATTCTCAATTTCATTCTTTAATCTTGCAATATCAGAAATGATTTGTAGATTAGAATTTGAAGATAATTATTGATTCAATCTATCATTTTCAGTAATTAAATTCTAAACCTTATTTTCTAATTCATTAATTAAATCTTTAATTTAAGAATCATCATTTTAATCTAATTTATTTTGTAATTCCTCACATTTCAATTAATATTATTATTATTCTGATTTAATACTCTAAAGTTATTATGATGTTTGTTTACGAATTTATTAAGATTTTTCCAAATTATCCTTCATTCTTGTAATATCTGTTTATTCTATTAGAGATTAATTTTCAAATTATAATTTATCATTTAACTATTTTAATAAATTAATTTTTTATTCTAATTCTTAAATAAATTATGAAGATTATCCTCTTTATACTTCACTTTCCATTTATTAAATAGTTTATTACAATAAATTATTAGAATCTTATAATTATTTATATTCATTTAATAAATTTGGATTATTATAATTTATTGGTTTAAGTTATGATTATGATCCTTTGTTATTATTATAATATATTGGAGTATTAATTAAATTATAAGGTTGAGGGGATTGTACAATAGTTGGTTATTGGATTTATTTAGGAGATTGAAAAATGACTGAATTATCTCGATTTTAAGCAGGACTCATACATACAAATTATTTGGTTGGATTAACGAATTAAGATAATTATGTTTCATTAATTGAATCGTTTTTTTTATCATTTTTACATCCAACTTTAAATTAGATTGAGTAATCATGTGATTAGTTAGGATTTAAATTAGATTTAGAATTACTATATTATAATGACTATATAATAAATAAATTAATTACAGGAGGTTTATCTTAATGACTTGAATTAGATGCTCTTTTAAGATATTAATTGTAATATGGATTTGTTGTAATTGAAGTAGTTTTATTGATAGTATCAATATCAGTGCTTGCTTTGTGATGGAATTTATTAGGTGGCATTTATGAATTTTATGTATTTTCAATACTTGAAAATGGTGATCTTGATTGATATTGATTGTATTTTAAAGATTATTATTATGGTTCTAATATATTATGGATTAAATTTACATGAAGGATTCCTTCTTCCAACTTAATATTATTACATGCTAACAGCCAAAATTTTAATTATTATTATTTATGAAATTAAGAAAATTAGGATTATCAATATTATTATGTAGTGCTGGATCATATAGTCTTTATTGTAATGAGAAGACTAAATCATATATTTGGGGTAATGGAGTATATTAGGCACTTCCTGGATAAGGTTTAAGTTTCAATAATTTCATACCAAAATAATTGGTTGATTTTGATGATAAGAATTTATAGAAATTATTCTTATCAGAATAATTTGAAAGTGGTATAACAGGAAATGGAGATGGATATATATGGACTGCTCACAAATTAAGTAGTTAAGAAGATAAAAATATAAATGATGGAAAAAGATAAAATATTACTAAAATCAATGTACCTAAAGGTAAGATTAAATAAATTAAATATACTAAATAATTTGTATGGGCATTGACTAATAATGGAGATGTCTTTTAATATTAGGTTAAGGATGGTTAATTTATTAATACTCCAAAAAAAATCAATAGTTTATAAAATATCAATTAAATAGAATGTGGAGAAGATCATTTTGTGGCTCTTACTAATGATGGTTCCATTTTAACTATGGGTGATGATACTTATGGACAATGTGGATTAGGATCAAATAATAGAAGTACAGCTCCACCATTTTATGAATAAAGAATAAGAAATCCAACCAAAATAGAAAATTTACCTAAAATAAATAAAATTATATGTGGATCTAATCATACATTATGCATAAGTGCAGAAGGATCAGTTTATGGATGGGGATCTAATTCATAAATGCAATTATCCCATTCAGAAGAGTTTTCAAGAGTAGGAGAACCATTAATAGCTGTTTACAATCCATTAAGAATTTCTGCTTTAATGGATAGTAATAATTAAGTTTTAGATTTGGCAGCTGGAAATGAATTTAGTGTATTTGTAACAAAAAACAAATAAAATTCTGAAACTGAAGTATTTGCTTGTGGTCATAATATAAGAGGATAATTAGGTTGTGGATTTGTTAGACATATAAGTGATATTGTTAAATTAGAAGGATTATCAAATTTTAAAATAAATATCAATGGTAAATAGGAAAATGTAGAAGTAAAATAGATTGAATGTGGTTATAATCATTGTATGGCATTAACAAATGTAGGTGCTATTTTAGAATGGGGTGATAATGAATATGGATAATTAGGAAATAAAAAAAGGTATCATATTTAATATTAAATTATAGATCATTCACAGATAAACCTATAGTAGTATCATAATTTGTGTAAAATAGGGTTGCAACAATATCATGTGGTAGTAATAGCAGTGGAGTAATTATTTAGTAATGATAGAGTATATTAAATCAATTCATTAATTCTAAATAAATATAATTATAAAAGTGATATCATCAACAACTGAATCATCATCTATTGTCCACATTCTATATGCAACTCTCATTAATTCTTCACTAGCCCCTTCAATATTATTTTATTAGTAATATTTTCCAATAATATCAACAACAATTTAATTATCTAAAAATTCCCATATCCCATCTGAGGCAATAATAATGAATTTATCATTTAATCCTAATTAATATTCAATAATATCTGGAACACTGCTAACTCCAATAGATTAGGCTACTTAATCTCCTAAACTTCTACTCATAGCTAAACCTGGATATTATGTTCCATTTACCCAAACTCTCATAGGTCCTATGGGATTACCTGGAATATATATATATATAATATACCATTTTAATCATAGAATGTATCTACCTTACCTCCTGATTAGATTACTCGATATTACTCTTTTTTAATAGATAATTTATGATCAATTGATAATTAATAAGGTTTAAATTTTGAACCATATCCATTTAATTTACCAATGACTGTTCTACTATCACCAACATTAAATGAATATATTTTACCATTTTCTTACAATAGTATTCCATTTAATGTAGAACCACTAAAGTTAGTATCAAATGATTATTAGTTTACATTAATAGAAGTATTTTAAATAGATTTCTGAAGTATTTATTTAATTTAATGAGATTATATTTATACTTTATCTCTTCGAATGCTATTTGGTAAATTAGTTTAAATGAAATTGGAAACGAACTGTCCATTTTGTCCATGTCCATCGCAAACAAAAAATAAATGGAAATTATCAAAGAAATTTGTTTTACAATAAACAATATCTTAATTTACTTTGGTTGGATTATTAGCTATTTAACCTTATCTAGTTTTATGAGTATATTTTAGATTAAACTGAAGTCTTTCTTGAAATTCAAGACTATATAATGAAGCTGTTGATCTATTTTTATTATAGATTTCTTCAATTTTTAAGATATTATTCTGACTTTGAACTCTTCTCTCAGGAACTGAATAATCTGGATTAACCTTTTGTGTTTAAGTGAGATATTTACTTACATAGTTATGCCACATTTATTTTCTATTTCTCATAGCTACTCTATTTAATTCTTTGGATTTGTTTAGTTTAAATATTGAGTCTAAAAATGAGTTGTATTTATTATTTAATTTGTTTAATTATTATCTATTTTATTATGAATAATTATTAAATATTAATCCTTTATATATGTATAATATTTACTATTTTTTGTATTTTATGATTGTTTCTCACTATAATCTCTCTATCCTAATCCAATTCTATTGTTTATAAATAATTTTGCTTTATTTTATTTATCAACTATTAATCTAATTATTCAATACTTTTGTTATCCCTATTATATTACTAATAATTGCCTTCTGTTTTTAAAATTTTTGGGCTTTTTAATCGCTTTGATGTTGATTTAATATTATCAAAAATCCTTTAATTCATATTATTTATAATAAATAAATGGATGAAAGTGGAATAATAGGATAGATGATACTCGAAAGTAGTGGTAGAATTAAAAAGGTAATAAATTGAATCAATATTAAGAGTAGTGGTACTTTAGATAATCCTAAATTAATCCCATTTATAACAACTATTGTTTCATCGACTGCTAAGATTTTAGATAAATAATCACTCAATAGAGTAACATGTAAATTCAAAATATATAATAGTAAGTTATTAAGAATCAGATATTATAATTTACATCGATTAAACAGACATAGTTGTATTAGAAAGAAAAAAATGATGTATATATATATCAAAATAATATATATACATACTTTAATTTTTATATTTTATTATTTTTTGAAATATGAATATCTATTTATTTATAATTGATGATTTTATCATAAATTCTATTAATCTACCAAATATAATATTCAAATACTTTATATTAAGATAAATATAGATAAATTCATATGAAATAATTTAATAAATAATTGTAATCATTATTAATAGTATTTAGATATCATAATTAAATTAGATAATTTTCTTTATTTATTATATTGATGAATGTATCTCTTTTATAAATATATATTTGTTTAAATTTGACTTGTTTTTATATTATTTTTATTATCAAATATATTATGTTTGAAATTGCAAAACTCATTCAGCTATCAAAATTAGACTATGATTTTTCTTGCCTTATTAAAATGAATTCAATAGTTCATTTAAATATTCAATAAAATTAGAATAATAATTTTCATCTTGATTTATATTATAAACATAACTAAATTAAAAAAAATTATGGAAGAATAACAAAGGTAATCATAAATTCTGAAATTTCTTAAAACTATTAAAACTACTTAAGAGATTTCTTAAAAATGAAATTGTAAATTAAAAGATAACTAATCAATTTATTAAGTTATTGATTTCTAAAATATATCTACAAATAATTATTAGGAATGTAAAGATTTAAATAAATTATTATGAACTTACTTTAGTTTTATTTACTTATTATAATTATATATATACACTTAATCATTGTCATATATTTATATATTATCAAAAATAGAGGTATTGAATAAAAATAATAATGAATGATGCATGTGAATAAACAGCAAATTTTTTCTATCCTCCTGATCAATAAGGGAATAAATAAAAATTTATTCATTCAAGAAGATTATTAAAACCAAAGAGTGCTAATTCCAATCCATCTACATAATTGTAAAATATCTAGTTTTTATATGGATTATAGAACAATTTCTAAACGAAGTACTGATAATTAAGGTTTACATACACCTTTTTAAATAGGAGAGATAAAGAAAGGATTAAATATATTAAGAGATTGTGAAATGAAAAAAAATAAAAATTATAGAATTCTTAGTTCAAATATAAATGAACGATCAAGCTATCCTTAATAGATTAGTTTTGGAAATAAATTCATATTTATAAATGAATAGAAAATAAATAAATTTACTGAAAGTCCTTAATCTAAGATAAATAAACTGCCTGAAATCTTTAATCACAGAAACTCTTGTTAAGGATTTAAATAAAATTATAGAATATAAAGCAGTTAGAGTAAAAGAGATACTATTACAAATTTTAATATTGAATGCCCTAAATAAATTTATATACAATAATGCATGTAACGATTGGAACTGAAATAAACAATTTAATAATAAAATTAAACTAGATTACCTAGTTAACCTATTTCTTTTTTATAAGCAAAACAATAAAAAAAGATGATAAATCGAATATTTTCAGGCAAACGTGATTCATGATTATAGTAAATATCTCATTCCATAGTTGATTTTTATACTTTAAAGGAATTTGCTTTTTTCAATCCCATTTTTGGTGTTTAAGAATTGAGTTTTGATATTGCATCTTCTAATTAAGATGCTTCCTCATTCACACAATCATCATCCTTACTCATTTGATTAATTTATTATTAAAACGAATTTTTCAAAGCTGTCTTTCTTAAATCTGATTAATTACTTTTCTTATTTACTTATGTATCTATAATAAATATAATTAATTAGATACTTGAATCAGAATTTAGTTATTATTTCATAGACTAACTAAATTAGCTAAATTTGCTTTATTAAACTTAAGGTTTTTAATCTAATCTAGTTACTGATCCATTATTTGATACATTCGAAAAAGATCCCATAGTATCTATTCTTCCATTTAATGCAGGTTATCTCTATTATAATTACATTGATCCAACTTAACTTGGAGGTCTATAATTAAAATGAATATTATTAATTACCCTTATTACTTTCCTAATCCATAAACAAATTCTTTTTCATATTCTCTAAGACTATCTTAAACATCAATTAAATCTTATTCCTTAAATATTTCCTTGAAATATGGATGTTTTAGACAATCTTCAGATGATATTCTTCCTTTAGGTTCTGGATATAACATTTTCTTTAATAAATCTACTAATTATAGAGGTGCCTATAATTATTAATATTTAAATTACTGTTTATATTTATTTTAGATTGTAATTAATTTCACAATTCTTATTTGCTCTAAGAATTGCTTTATAATCTGTTCCTTAGAATGGTTATCTACCAGTCAAGAGTATGTAAAAGATTACACCTGCACTAAATACATCACATTTTTCATCATAAAAGGGATCTCCTTCTTTGTATATTAATATTTCAGGAGCAACAAATCCAGGTGTTCCACATCTCTTAAATAAAATATCTTCATTTAAAAAACATGCTAATCCAAAATCTGCAATTACTACATCAGTGTCATTATCTTTTTCTTTTAATAATAGATTTTCTGGTTTCAAATCTCGATGAATACATTTTTTAGAATGTAGATGACAAAGTGCTTTCATTAAATTATACATTAATTTTTATAGATTAGGAGCAGATAATGGTTAGGATTTAACTCTAGTTAATAACTCACCTCCTTTTAAAATATCCAAAATAAAATAAATTGAATTTTATGTTTCATATACTTCATGCAATTTTACTAGATTTTCTTAATTTAATCTTCTCATTACTTTAATTTCATTTTCCAATGATTCTCTTCCTTTAAATTATTCTTACATGAATTCTTTATTAAATGCTTTGACTGCATAATTCATACCAGTAGATTTTTTTGTCGCAAAATAAACTTTAGCAAAACTTCCTTTGCCTATCATTTTTGTAACTCCAAATTCATCATGGAATGTAGATTGTAAACATCTATAATTTAGAAGATTTTTAAATGTAATATAATCTTCAAGTTTTAAGTCAATATACTTTCCATTTCGTATTAATCTAATAATATTACCATGTTAATCATGTTTAATTATATTCATCATAACAACAGTAATTTATAATTAAAACATTGTTTCTTTTTTAATGTAATATAAATGTTCATTTCCAAGTTAGATTTTTATTGGTCTCAATTATTTTGATTTTTTGTCTAACTTATGGCAATCCTGCTCGAAAACTATGTTATCATTCTAGAAATTCTTACAAGATTTACATCGTAAATATCTTAATTTAGAGTCTGCCAAAGAGGTGGCGATTTTGTTGCAAGATCTAGATTATCAAAAAAAGAAGCAATTTCAGTATTCATAAAAATATTTTATTAATTTATATTATATATATATATGGGTGCAGCTTGTGCTAATGCAAAATTGAATTAAACAGTTCCTATAATAAAGATTACAAATGGAGAAGATTAAGCAGAAAAAAATCAAGAAAACCAATTACAATAATAAAGAAGTACATCTTCTAAAGAACAAAAGAATACTAAATTAAGCACAATTTCAAAATAAGTTTCAAATATTTCATCAGAAGGAGTACCCATAAGAAAAAACACAACCTCACGTATGTCTATTTCAGGTGAGGAAAGGGATAAGAAACCTAAAGTTTAAGGGAAAAATTAAGGTCAAGAATAATTATTAAAACAAAGAGAATTTATACTTGAAAAATTTCTGAATGATATTTAATTGTTAGACAAGTAATTAATGTAAGATGTCATCCAGATGTTGAGATTCTTCTTATCTCATTTAGAATAATCTAATATTTATTGGACTAAGTAATCATATCAATTAATATATTTTTAGAGTTTGGTTAATTAATAAAAATGATTACAGCATTGTTGTAGGATTTACTAATAATATAGGTGAATCAAGAAAAATAAGAATCTTGTATACAAAACAAATTGAATTAGTGGCTAATCTACTTGATAACTATTTATTTTTCTAATCACTTGGAAGTTATAAGATACATGATTTTAGTTTCAGATTGAACAAAAAACACAATAATTTCTATGTATTTTCTGAATAAGAATATTGTGATGTGTCTTTAGAGAATATATAATTGTAACCAGAAGATATCTAACCATTATTAGAGTATCTCTTAAATACTATATAATTTATGCATTCAAATTTATATGTTCATTCAGGGTAATTCATATTTGTAATTAAGAATTAAGCCATCCAATGTTTACATGATTTATCTTAAATAAAAGCAATTTAAATTAGACTTAAGTTTTTCTGCTTTTAGATTCTCTAGAAGACTAATTAAAAATAAAATCAAAGATTTTAGAGCCAATCTAGTTAATGATTTAGAAGATATTGCTATTCTTATCATTAATTCCTTTTACAAAGGTTCTGAAATTAGATAATAATTAAAATAAAAGAATATTGACTTTGCTAATATTATTGAATCCCTATATTAAAAATAGAAGAATGTTATTGAATGCTACATCAAAGATATTATCCTATTATTATACAGAAATAGATAATATCTTTATGATCTTAAAGCATCTGATTATGTTTAATTCTTGAAATGCTAATCTAACCCTCAATTAAAAGAACTCATTCAAGATATTCCAATTAGTAATAATAATAATAATAATAATAATAATAATAATAAATTTAAAAATGTACTTTTTGAATACTCTAAAAATAAAGTAGTTTTTTATAATTTAACATAAACTAGAAATTAAAAATCATACACTTAATATGAATTAATTGACCAAAATGAAAAATCAGTTAATATTATTAATGGAAGTGCTTATGTATAAGATAATAAATTTTATTTTGCTTTTGAAAATATGATTGGAATGATAACTATTAAACTTAGTTCTGAATAACTAGAAGATACTTTAGAAATGCTCTAAATATCATTAAGATAATATTTAGCTACAAAAGAATAATAAAAGAAAGAGAGAATTGATTCTGCATAAAAAAATTATTAATTGCAATTATAAATCAATTAACATAGTCCTTCTACTTAAATTGAAGATTAATTCAAATTCAAAGATACTACTTAGACTTAAAAATAACCTAATAAAAATTTTCATGATAGAATTTACTTTACTTATTAAAATTTATAAGAAATATTTAGCAGTATTGATATTGAATAAAGAAATTATATTTCAGCCTAACAATTCTATGATTTCCTTTAATAATAAACAGATTCGATTGATAATTCATTGCTTTAACAACTATTATTAGATAAGATATAAGAAATAGTTTTATTCTTCTCTGATAAGAATTTAACTTTTCATGAGTTCCTATAAATTTTTTCTTTTAGATCAAAATAACAATTGCCTATATATAAAAAGATAATTAAACCATTAAAATAGGCTTAGAATGTAAAATCGTTTACAATTATTAATAATACTGTTCATTATTATGATGGTCAATATTTATATAATGATGACAATCAAATCGAAATTCAATATGAATTAAGATATCTTATCAATAATTAAAATCAATTATTAATTATTGGAATTCAAGATGGATGTCTATATATTCATACATAATACAATTCTATATAAACAGATGTAAAAATCAATTAAGATTTTGGATTTTACAAATTAAATGATATTTACTTTATTACTCAATAAAATGAACTTATAATGTATTGTTTAAAACAAAAAAAAAGTGTAAAACTTAATATAAATGGAATTACATCATAATGCAATATAATATACCATAAATATTTTATACTTTATTTACAAAATTAAAATGTTTATAGAATATTTTTATCTTAAGATAAATGGTGCATAACATCATTTAATGTATTCGAAGTATTATTTGAATATGGAAGATTAGATTAAAAAATAAAATTGAAATAAATAAGTACTAAATAAAATTAAAGTGATGAATTAATTGGATTATATTCTATTAATAAAGTTTATTATCCTATTACAAATCAAACACCATCATTATATAGAATTTTATCAGTTTCAAAAGAACAATAGAATTATATACTTATATAAAGAATCGTACATGTTGAATTTGAATCATTTGATGAATGTTATTAAATATGTAAATATTTGGATCCATATTTATTGGATTTCTTTCTGAGTGTAGAATAATATGATGGAAAAGTGAGATTAAATTATATTATAGAGAATTGTGATCTTATTTAAAAAGAAGATTGCAACTTTAAATTAATTAAAAGATGTGTTAAGAAATTGAATGAACTAAGATCTCATGATATATTTGTTTAAGATATGCATCCAAATAATATATTTATTACAACTAATTCAGTTATTTTTGCTTCTCTTATATATAAGACTAATGTTCCTAGTATTTATTAAGAAAAACCAGTACCATTTATGTCTTCATTAGAATATATGGAACCTAAATCATTTTTGGCTTATACTTAAAATTTAACTTATAATTAAATCTTTATTAATCCTAGTAAAGCTAATGTTTACAGTTTAGGATTAATATTTTTAAGAATGCTTACAAATTATCAGATTAAAAATACTAAAGAATAATAATTTTATTTAATGGAAATAAACTTGGCACTTTAATAATTTTAAAATCCTAATTTAAAACCATTACTTGAAGAAATGCTAAAAGAGAATGAAGAATAAAGATATGATTCTTATTAATTAATATAATTTATTAGAAAATATTAAAAATTAAATTAAAAAGAATTATTCTTTACTTCATAACCATTATAATTATTAGAGACTTAATTACAGTAAACTTTATATGGATATTAAAACAATACAATTTATCAATATCAACAAGTATTTCAAATATATACTAATATTTTATCAACTAATTTATAAGTATTATGTGTTTAATCAAATGATGAAGGACAATTAATTTTATTTGCCAAATCATTAAATTAGAAGACATTTAAATATTTACTTCTATATATATATTTATCACAGAATTAATATGAATAACAACAATAACATTCTACTTTAATTTTTGAAGAATTAGTAAATTTCTAAAAATTTTCAGAGGAAGAATAAGATGAACTTGAGAATAATCAATTATAAATTATATAATAAAATGGATTGCATGTATAATCACCTCATGTTATAATAAAAGAAGTATAGGTTCCAATATTTGATTTATAAAATGTAAATGAATGTACATTTTTAATAAATGGAGAAGATCTTTATTTTTTTGGATTTGGAATAACGAATGAAATAAGAAGAGTAGGATCAAGAGATTGTTTTGTATATATGCCTAAAAGAAATTTATTCAAAAAAGTTGGTTAAAGAACAACTTATTATGAAGCTTAAGCATTAGATTTTGGTGAATATTGGTTGTTATTAGAAAAGAATTCAAATAATAATAAGATTAGAATTTAGTAAATTACTAAAGCTTCATTTTAATGTATTGAAAAAGTTATAAAATTAAAAAATAGCTAAAAATTGTTTTATTTTAAATATTTGTAAAATGTTATTGCCATCTCTAACAATTTATGTTGGTATATCAACATTGAAGCATTTAAAGCATTTGAAATATAATGTGATAATATACCAAAATCATTAATTTTTATGCAAAATACTTAATATAATACAATTTTAACATAAGATGGTGTATCAACATTATAATTTGATGGTAATATGTTAAAAGTATATTGATTTATATTTTATATCAATGTTATTTGAATACTTATTACATAGTAGCTCTTGAAATGGTTGATTCACTTTTAGAATCCATATCAATCATCTCAATTCCAGTTAAATTTACAAGTAGTTCTTCATTCAACAAACCATCAATTTAAGATGTAATAATTTAAGTATGTTTTAATTATTCATCATCAAAAAAATCATTAAGTTTTTACTTAGGAAATATTTATGTACTCATTAAAATTTCCATTGGACCTAAATTTGGCAAATCAATAAGTCCATTTCTTACTCTTTAGCTTCCAACACTGAACCTATTTTTTAAGTCAAATATTGATGAATTTTTATTGTATCTCTTTGGTCCATCATCTTTATTTTTTTAAAATGACTTAACATAATTTTTAATAATAAATCTTAAATTTGGTATCAATTCTCTACAAAATACTTAATTGTTTTGTAATTCTGAGAACATCCATTAACTCTATTAACTTAAATATATTTATTGCTAAGATTCTTTTTATTAACGTGCAGTCATCAAAGATTTATTAATTACTGATTGTCTACTTGAATGTTTTTATTTTTGTGTTTATTTATTTTCTCTTAATTCATCAATCAATAATAATGTATGTTCTAATATTTCTTTTGATTTCACTCTTAAAGAAGCAAATCTAATTTAAGCATTTAATTATAACTTTTTTTATAGTCTTAAATAATTAAATACATAAAATACCCTTCTAGAAATAAATCATATGATTCTTCATCAACATAATCTTATAATTATACTAATAATAATCCATAAATGATAAATAATTTCTCTTATCTTAATTAAATTAGTTAAATACTATCCTTATATAATACTTCTTTATAATTATCTTTAGATCGACTTTCTAAATACTTTTCAACAACTGTATAAATTAAACATGCTTCATCAAAATAATGTTTTAAAAATGAGATAGTATGAAAATGACTTGAAAAATCCCTATCTGATAGATGTTATTCGATTTATAAATAATCAAGGATTTCATTAGAAAGGTCTAATAATCCTGTTGGATATCTCTTTAATTTGATAGAATAACAAATATACTGTAATTTAGAAACGAGTATTTTAAATGATTTCTTTATCTATTTTAAAATGCTATATGATTGCTATCAATTTTTCAAAGCTTTCACTATCACTAGAATCTAACTATTCACAAATTAACATAAATTAATAATAACATTATTATGTTAATTTTTCTCATCTATTTAGTAAACTCATAATATATACAAGATGGAATACAAATTTTAGAAAACCGTATGTAATTATCTATTGACAAATATCTTGTATATTCAAATTGTCCAGCAAATCTGAACTCTTTTTGTCATAAAAGAATACCATCAATTTCTATTCAAGAATAAGAAACTTTGAATGTTATCTAAAACTAAGTAAAATGTTATTATAAAATAGGTTTAATAAGTATTAGAGTAACTAGAACCTGAATAAAATAAACATTAATATTATAATAAAATTATCAATCAATTATTTTAAGAAATAGTTCTATATGATCAAAATGAAGAGTTTTTGTCATTTACCTTTAAATTTACTTAATTTAATCAGAAAAAAGAATTACAATTAATTTAAGAAAAGTATTATATTGATTCATTAAATCGATCAGCTATTTTAATGGATAATAATAACATTAGTCTATAAGAATATAATAATACACTATTTATGAAGTTTTAAGATTTATATATTCCTTCTAAAAATAAAATTCTTAATCATCAATTTGGATCAATTAATATTTTGTATCCTCCTGATAGTTTTAATATAAGAACAGCAGATAAGAACGGTTGCATCTATTTTACTAAACCAATATATCTAACTTAATTTTATGCATTAAGTTACGAAGTCAATTCTATAATTAGTATTGGTTATAACAACTAGACAATAAAGATGATTTCTATTCCTGTTAAAAATAAATGGGTTTTAGTTTTTGGTCCAACTGGATAGTATATCAATAATATTACAATTTCAAAATAAACTCATATTGATTCACTAATTATTAAAGTATAGAAATAACCATTTACAATATAATAAATTAAAATTATAGTGATTGAAAGAATTTTAGATAGATATTATTTATTAAACTCAGAATCATTATTAAATTATTTAAGTATAGAGGATGAGTCTCAAGAAGATGATTAAATTTATTATTAGACAATAGATATATTTTTGGAATTTTTAGAAAAGGTATTGGGTAGAATTAATTAGTTTAAAAAATACAAATAATTTGAATCTTTAAATTCAGAATAAATAATAGATATATTATAAGATGTATGTAAGTCTTTGATTATAAAAAGATTGAAGATGAGATGTAAAAAAATGAAATTTTGAAATTTAAGAACTTATTTTAAAATTTCATGGTAGAGAAATATTCTGAGAATGATATTATATAAATGTATGAGCAGTTAATGTAAATAAATGAAGAATTAAAAGATAATAATATAGATTGAATTATAGTAAAAAATTCATTTAAGTGAATCTTCATATTTATGATCTCTTAATAATTTAAATTTATTTTTATAGGCCAAAAATATTGACCATTATTTAGAGAAAGGGTTTTCGTTTAAGTCTTTTAATGGTAGTTAAAATGAAGATTTTGACATTAATTTCTTCTTTTCATTTTCATAATACCTATGTAATTTAGCCTCAGGTACTTTTATGAATTCTTCTTTTTGCAATATAGATTCCTGCTTTTCATTTTAATTCAATAAAATATTGAGAGATTAGGAATGGCATGATGTATTTTAAGAAAACAATTTAACAGATCCTCTGACCTTTTTTGGCATTTTTGGATTATAATATCCAACTGCAGGTTAATTATTATCTGGTGTTTTTATCAATAAGTAATTTTTTTTAATAGGAGGAACATAATTAGATTAGATAGATTATTTATGAGATGTTGACCATGTTGAGTAATTAGTTTTAGACATTTATGGTTATTAGATATCTTTAAAGAGAGTTTTTAGAAAAATAAAATTATTGGTTTCTTATTAATGAGAAGAATGATTGCTGAATCTTAAATAAATGGGTCTTTTTTTGACTTTAGATGGTTATGACTTTGGAGTAATGGAGAAACGAAATTTGGATTTATTAAATTTAAATTAAGTTTTGTATGTTGTTTTTGATCTTATATCTTCTTATTCATTATCCATAATTCCAGTTATAAAATCATATTAAGACTTAGTCTATAAAATTGATTAGAGTGATTATTTCATGAAAATTATTATGATAAATTCTCAATAAATAAAATATTAAATTAACATCACTATAAATGAATTTCACTTTTATGATAGATAATTGTTTATCTTCTTGTTAAATAACTTATAATGGATTAACTATATTAGATTATGCTAAAAGTGCAATAGAATATTTTGTAAAAAAGAGAACAAAGAATCCAGAATATAAGTATGATCAATACCATCTTTTTTCGTCAAAGTAATTTTTTGTTCTTTACATATTGTGTATAGTTCTTCAATCTCAACATGGACAAATGATGTATGCCATTTTTTACAAAAACTTAAAACTATTCAACCTTAGTTCGAAAGTAATTTCAATTTAGATGAATGTTTCCACAATTTAAAAAAATTTAGAACTTTAAATGGTTATTTATATATATAATTAAATACAGGCACTGATAATCTTTATGGAGGAAGAGATGTCTTAAAAATAGAATCAGCTATCATATTTGTTTTCACTAACAGAGAATATATTGGACCTGCTTTCCATTAATTGGTAAGATGGGATTATAGACTTCTTGTATTTTTGTTACAACCTCCTGGAATCGAAGAAACCAATACCATTTCTATATCAACTAACTGGCATAACCTAGCTTCTTCTGTAGGTTAAGGAGTGTGTTTCGAAATTCAAGATTATAATATTTTATTCTAAATCTTAGATGATCCAAAATTAACACCACCTTAAATATCTCTTTAATTAAATCTTTTAGATTAATCAAATAAAAATGATGAAATTTAATCTATCTTTGAAAAAACAAAGATAGAATAATAATCAAGTCAGCCTTCTTATTTGGTGAGATCTCCTTAAAAGCCGAATTAATCTTTTGCTTCTGTTCGTTTAAAATGTTAACCAAATATGACTATTTTCACAAAAGTATATTTGCCTGAATAATTTCCATTTTCAGATTTTAATGTATATAAATTAATTTATTAAATAGAATTATCCTGCTTATCCTGAGTATTATGTTGATTTTAATGTATCATTTAAAGCAAAATTACCCTAATAATTACCTTATTAAGAGATATTCATTGAAAATGTTTTATTGTTGAAATTTATTCAGGGTATCTCAACAACAAAAGGGAAAATATTACAATTTCCAATATTTTATTATGAAAAAAGAGATGAACAAAAAGTTCAATATTTAATTGGATTATTGTTATTTTAACAAAATTAAACAACAATGGAATTACGATTGTATTATTTCTAAAATCAAATATTATAGTTACTTTCCTAATTTTTTAAATTACTATGAACTTTTAATGTAATGTGGTAATTCTACAGATGAAACAAGAAGATTTGCCGAATAAAAATTGTTGTAATATCTATCTACAATACCAAATTATTATGCTCCATGTATTAGAAAGAATTAAAATGAATTAAATATTTAAGTAAATAGACTTTAATTTTATATTAGATTCAAAGATAATTAATATTTTTGATAGATGAATAAAATTAATAGTTATATATGTAGAAAGTTAAAGCTCATTAGGCTAAAATTTAAAAGATAAAAAAATAAGTGGATGATGAAAATTATAAAAATAGATAAATGCATATATCCAGAAAGAGTCAATGTTGCGCAGCATTCAGCGAAAATTATGAATAAAGATTTCAAGATTAAATTGATTGTGAATTCAGAAAAGCAATATAATTCTAATAGGATGTCAATTTTTAAAGATTTATTCCATAAGAAGAAATACAATCATGCTTGCCTTAAATGCCTATTATTTAACCTACTCTAAGAAATATATATTTGGATTCTGATGAAATTGAAATTAGATTAGAACCTCAATTTTGTGGAAATCCATGGAAATTGCAAAGAAAAACTTATAGAGATGGAGTAGAAATAAAAGTTTATTATTATAATTATTAATTAGAATGAATAAGAAGAAATATTATTAGAAGATATGATGTTAACTAAAATGGATTCTGAAAAGAAATCATAAACTAAAAATAGAAGAAAAGGATTTATGAGATTAAAGGATATTCAAAATTGTAATCATAAATAAGTTAACATTGAATAATAAGAAATGGAAATTGAAGAAAATTAAACTGAATCATAATCATAATCCAAATAAGGTTCAGTTAAATTCAATCCTCTTTTTTAAGTAATTATTTCTTACATCTAGGCTAAATTTAAATTGATTGTCCTAACTAAATTGAATAATTCTGTATCCACAAACAATTGAAACACAAAAGTAAAAAAAATTATTATGCTTGTCTTTTAAGTAGCTTTTTGTAATAAAAGCATAGTTTATTTTTTAACTTAAATTTTTGCTTCAATATATTTTGTTTTTTTTTTGATAATTTAAATTATTGATGTTTACAAATACTCTCGGAGCATAAAATGGATTGCCTTAACAATAATAATAAGGTTTGGCAGGACAGAGTGCTTTAGTTTTTGGTAATACAGGTGTTTCCAACAATATTTTTGGATAAACACAACAAATTCTTACACCAATAGGATAAGCCTAAAATTAAGGAGCATTTGGATAATAACCAAATTAACTCAATTAACCTCAATTATATGGAGGATAACCATAATAAACAACAAATTTATTATAATAACCTTAAGGATAGTAAATGGGCACTTTAGGTCAATAGACCGCATAAATAGGTTAAGTATAATAAACAGGATTTTTTGGATAGTAACCAACAATACAAGGAGGATAGATAGGATAAATGTAATAACAACAATAAATTTAGTAATAATAACCATAATAACAATAATAACAATAATAATAATAATAATAATAATAATAATAATAACAATAATAGACTAAAAATTATACAATTTAACAAATTAAAAATGAAACCTAAAAACATATTGATAATCTATCAAAAACTATCATTAATAAAGAGAAAATTGAAAAAAATTAAAAAAATTTATAGTTAATTGAAAAAAATTCTCTACGAAATATATAATAATAATAATAACCTCAAGTAAATCCATCTACAGGATATGGTTTAGCATAATAATAATAAATACAAAGACCAATCCAAAAAGTTGATCCTAGAAATCATACTGCAAAAGTAGAAAAATATTATGGAGAATGGAATAAGGGAATTTCAAGGATTGCATAAAAATAAGGAGAAACTATTAATTAATTAAATGAGTTAAATTCTCTATTATCCCAATAAGATACATATTATGGTATATTAATATTATTATGAAATTAGAAATAGATGAAGAGTCATTAATAGATTCAATAAAATAATTGGGAAAAGAACTTAATTTATTAGAATACAAGATTGTAGATGTTGTAAAATTGTAAGAGAAAATTTTAGGATTAGAAAAGGAAGAATCTGAATGGGATCAAATTGTTAATAATTTAAGTGAATGTTTGACTCTTTTAGAAATTCAAACTGTAATATAATAATCATTAAATTATTTAGAAAGAAGTTGAGGATCAATTACATTAAGCAGAAACTCATCCAAAAGTATTAAACAAATGAAATGAATTTACTAATAAATATTAAACATAATTGAATTAATTAATTATTAATTATGAATACAATTGTTCTTAAATTATTTCGCTTAGCTAAGATGGGATAGAAGGAAGAATTTTTATCTCTTGTGTAAAATAAAGGAATTATGAATAAATTATAATATTTAAATGGAAAGGAATTATCTATGATAATATATGGCTATTCAAAATTGAATTTGATGAATTAAGAAACTCAACATGAATTTGAATAAATATATTTAAATAGCATTAAGAAGTTAAATGTTCATGATCATGTAATGTGTGGATGGTCTCTAAAAAATACTTAAAATAAAGATGTATCAAATGCTTTAATTTAATCATTTCATTAAAATTGGGAAAATATTAAACAAATGCAATAAAATAAAGCCAATATAGGTTTAATTGCTTATTTATCTGCAAATGAAAAAAATCCTGAAGATCCAATTTGGAAATAAATAGAAAATGTTTTTTATGAAACAATGGAATTTTAAGATTAAAAAAATTTTATGATTATACTCTATGCTTTCTCTAAAGTTTAACCAAAAAGTGATTCTATTTGGATATCACTTGAGAAATATATTTGGGGTTAAGGATTTGATTAATTTTCTAGAAGAAACTAGGTTCTTATGGTTTATTCATTTGCTAAAGTTGGTAAAGGTTCTATGTAATTTTGGGAAGTAGCAACAAAATAAATCCCAAACCTTAAATTTAAATTTTCAGATGATATTTCATTTTGTATTTGGGCATTTGCTAAAATGAACATTAATAACTTATAATTCTGGGAGAAGATGATTAATAAATAGCTTTAGATTTGGGATAAGGTATCTTTAGCAGATATTGAAAATACAACATGGGCTTTAGAAAAAGTTTAATTAGCTAATCCTGATATTTGGAATTAAATTCTATAATAATAAGTATCAGAACATCAATCTATTTCATTGAAATATAATGAATTTGATGAAGTTCTAACAATTGGTAAGAGATTACATAATTTGAAAATGGATTAAAGCCCATTATTTTTATCTTTACAAAAAAAAATCAATGGAATGTTAACTTAGAATAAAGTAAACTTTTAATCTTTGCATAGACTGCATTTTTTGTCAGTTTTTATTGAGAAAGACAATACTATATGTAATGAAAATTTAATATAATAAATAATTAATAGTTTTAGTCAAAATTAATCATATAATTCCAATTTAAATTTATTAAATAGCTTAACATTGCTTTTGTAGGATGAAACTTTGGCTAAATTTAATTTAAATGATAAATTCAAAGAGGTTATCAATAAGAGTTTTACAAATATGAAATTTATTGATTTCAAATCAAGTATTGATTAAGAAAAGTATTTTTGGATAGGATCTTATTTACTTCAGTATTAAGAGAATGATATTTTACCATTATTAACATCTGAATAAATATATGAAAAAGTAGAGAATAATATATCTCATTTATGTAGTTTGATTAAGATTTTATCTAAACATGATAATGCTGCACCATTTTTTAATAGATTAAGA